TTTGGCGGGTCTGGGCTGGATTCGAACCCGCCACCTTAGGTGTACGTGACTGGCGCCTTAGCCGGTTGAGCTATAGGCGCCGAGCCCCTGGCTAGTTTTAAAGTCAGGGTCTCACTGCTGTCCATCCTGGTCTTGAACCTGTAAGCTCAGGCAATCCACCCACCTCAGCCTCCCAGACAGCTAGGATTATAGGTGAGAGCCACCTCATCTGGCCACTGTTTTTCCAAATTAAAAATTAATAAGCAATTAATTATTAATTAAAATTAATAAGCCACGAGCAGTGGCTTGTGTTTGTAATCCTAGCACCCTGGGAGGCTGAGGTAGGTGGATTGCGCTGAGTTCACAGGTTTGAGACCAGCCTGAGCCAGAATAAGACCCTGTCTCTAAAAATAGCTGGGCATTGTGGCAGGTGCCTGTTGTCCCAGCTACTCAGGAGGCTGAAGCAAAAAGATCATTGAGCCCAAGAGTTTGAGATTGTTGTGAGCTATGATGTCACAGCACTCTACTGAGGGCAACAAAGTGAGATTCTGTCTCAAAAAGTAATAATAATAATTTGGAAAAACAGTTTTTTTCAAGAGACAGAGTCTTGCTTTGTCACCCAGGCTGGAGTGCAGTGACACGAACATAGCTCACTGTAGCCCTGGACTCCAAGGCTCAAGTGATCCTCCTGCCTCAGCCTCCCAAGTAGCCATGACTACAGATGTGCACCACCATGTCCAGCTAATTTTTTCACTTTTTGTTTTTTATAGTGATGGGGTCTCACTATATTGCCCAAGCTAGCCTCAAACTCCTCCTGGGCTCAAGTGATCCTCCTGCCTCAGCCTTCCAAAGTGCTGCAATCAGAGGTCTGAGCCATTGTATCTGACTTAATTGGGAATGATTTAACAGTCACCAGAAGTTGCAAAAATAACTAAGAGGCCCTATGTGCCCTTCAGCCAGCTGCCCACTGATAATTTATGTGACTGTAGTCTGTTTTCATGGGAAACTGATGTTGGCATGATACTATAAACTACAGGCTTTACGCAGTTTTCATAGGTTTTTAGGTGCAAGCACGTGTGTGGTTTAGAGGGGTGTGTGTGCAGATTTGTGTAAATACCCTTGATTCTTAATTTGTTTAAAATAGTGCATTTGGACTGAATACTTGTGGACTCCTCTGTTTTAGGACAAAAACTCCAAAAATCTTGCCAGATATTCTGAAAAAAATTGGAGACACCCCCATGGTCAGAATCAACAAGATTGGAAAGAACTGTGGCCTGAAGTGTGAGCTACGTGAGTGCCCGGCTTGTGAGAGGGGCTTTCTCTACCCTGCACTGGGCTCAGTAGTGCCTGGGGCCTGGGAGGTCCTGGGATAGGCCCTGGACAAGGCCGTACAGGGGTGGGTGGGTGGCTCATGAGTGGCCGAGGTCACACTGAGGTCAAAGGCAGAAACCATGAGAGTGTGGTGGTTCCCTCAAGCTTTTACTGGAAGGAGTGGACATGTCACGTATGGTCATAGCTGGACAGGACGAGGTGGTCACTTTTTGCTACTGCTGTGGGACTGACAGTTCAGCTAGTCATTTAGGAGACAAAGAATGGGGATTGGAGGGTCTGTGCTGGCCTCATTCTAGGTCAGCACAGAGTTACCGGGGTCCTCCTGGAGCTCTGTGGTCAAGGTGGTTTTTTGTAGGAAGCTGTGCACAGATAAGAGGGTGGAGGGAGTTCACGATCATTGAGAGCAGAGGACCCAGGTAGACTTGGTCAGCCTCACAGGGAGACTGCAGGTGCCAAGGCCCTGGGGGAGTGGGGAGAGAAGCCTAGAACAGGGAAGGGGCAGAGAATCAGCTCCTTGGACATTTTTATTCTGAGATGCCTGTTTAACAAAGGAGAGATGCCACTGCAGTCAGGACATGGCGGGTGGAGGTGGAGGCTTGAAGTAGGAGGTGGGCGCACTGGGAACTCTTGGGGACCCTGGTCCCCCTCTTCCTCTCTGGAGAAGGAAATCTCTAAATAAAGTAAACAAATAGTCCCCTTCATGGATGTCCCCAAGGCCCAAGAGGGCCTGCTCTGTGCCCACCTGTCTGACAGATAATAGAGCACATTGACCTGCACCCAGCAGGTGTGAGCCTGTGCTGACCATGCTCCACACATGACTTTGAATTTGGCCTTTGGAGTAGGTTTCAATAAGCCCATTTTATGGACAAACCAAGGCTCAGATTGGTTACATGGCTTGGGCAAGGCCAGCAGCTGGTCAGCTCTGATTCCTGCTTCTGAGCCAGCTTCCACGGGCTTCCAGGGAGCTTCCAGGGTCTCCCTAGCCAGGGAGCTTCCAGGGTCTCCCTAGCCAGGGAGCATCCAGGGGCTCCCTAGCCAGGGAGCTTCCACGGGCTCCCTAGCCAGGGAGCTGACTACGCAGTGCACAGTGCAGAGCACGGGGGTCCTAGGATGCAGCTTTTCCTTCCCACCTCCACCACACAAGACACTTCTGCCTAGGCTTTGGGGTGAGTCTGTCTGATGGTGGCTTTCAGAATTTTGTGGGTTCCATAGACTGGTCCTGGGTCCTTCAAATCAAATTATATTTGGTGTACCCCAGTGTCCAGCTTTTTAAAAACTCAGCGTTTTTCAGAGCTGGGGAGAAAGAAGACTGGCTTGACTGGGTGTGGGCCAGGGGTTCCTTGCAGGGGGAGGGGCGTGTGAGCTGTCCTGGAGGGTTTGTGGGTCCCCATCAGAGGGCAGTGGCTTTAGAAGGTTGGACTAGTCCGGCAGGGCAGCAGCATGGCTGGGCTAGGAGTGTGTAGGACTCAAGTCTAAGCTTGTTGCTCCTGGAACTCTGAGGGGGAGAGAGGCATTCCTGATCCACAAGCCAGGGGGTGCTCCTGGTGCTTTCTCGTGGGTTTTCTGCAGGGCGGGTGGGTGGGCACTGAGCCAGAGCACTATGGACCAGAGTCAGCTGGGGTAGGGTCTTTTCTTCCCTGTGATGGTCCCCCTCCCCCAACCCCGCAGTGGCCAAGTGTGAATTCTTCAACGCGGGCGGGAGTGTGAAGGACCGCATCAGCCTGCGGATGGTGGAGGATGCCGAGCGGGACGGGGTTCTGAAGCCTGGGGACACGATCATCGAGCCGACATCTGGGAACACAGGTGGGCCTGGGCCGGCTGAGCCGCAGCTGCTCACCTGGCCTCTCCTGTGCTCGGCTTTCTGCCCCTGAGCTCCCTCCTGACTCTTGCCAGAGGGCAGAAGCCAGCTATTTTGGGCAGTTGGGCGGTTTTGGAGTCCCACAGAACCCCTCCCCTGGGCCTCCTGGTCTGGTACCCTACGCAGGACACTGTGCCCTCACCCTCTGTGTGCGCCCTCAGGGATCGGGCTGGCCCTGGCTGCAGCTGTGAAGGGCTATCGCTGCATCATTGTAATGCCGGAGAAGATGAGTGCCGAGAAGGTGGGCAGGGTGGGCGGGGCCAGCCGGGGAGGGATAGCGTGAGAAGGGCCAGACGGTGGGACCTACCTGGCTGGAAGGTGAAGGCCATTCCTCCGTACAGGTGGATGTCCTGCGGGCTCTGGGGGCTGAGATCGTGAGGACACCCACCAACGCCAGGTTCGACTCCCCCGAGTCACATGTGGGAGTGGCGTGGCGGCTACGGAATGAAATCCCCAATTCTCACATACTGGACCAGGTGAGGCATCTGGGGGCTGGGAGCAGGTTTGCATTCGGAGATTTGTGCCTAAGTAGGGCTTTTCCTAGGGCTCTGTCAGGGACTGGGGGTGGTTACTGAGGCTGTGCTCTCCTCCCGTGCAGTACCGCAACGCCAGCAACCCCCTGGCCCACTACGACACCACCGCCGAGGAGATCCTGCAGCAGTGTGACGGTGCGCACTCCTGTCTTGGTCACGTTTCTGCCTCCTATTCACCCTTCAGAACCCAACTTAAAAGTCTACTCTCTGTGAAATGCCTTCCAGAGCAGCTCCCTAGAGCAGTTCCCCTCCTTTCTGCTCTCTTAGCCTTTGCCTGTGCCTTACCTGTGACGCCAAACAGGCCAGAGCAGCAGTTTACCCGGCAGTCTCCTGGCTGGGCTGCCAGCCAGCTGTGTTGCTGGATGGCAGCAGCTCTGTTCAAGCCCCAACTTGGGCATTGAATTCATCCCCTGAGCCAGGGGTGGTGCCGTCTGCCACCGGCTCCCTCCCTGTGCAGGCATGAGGTTCCTTGGCACCTTTTCCACGCGTGCAGTGCCAGGGCCCAGGGGCTCTGGAGGTGATGTTTTCCCAAAAGACCCTTTAGGGAGAAATTACTGGGAGGCTGGCACTGTGGCTGCCTGTGGGAACCTGCTATTGGCATTGGCCCAGGTGCAGCTCGATCTGTGAGCAGGCAGTAGGTGGGAAAGTCCAGGCATTTTATGTGTGAGAACTGCTCATCTGGCAGAAACAGCCCTGTCTTCACTGGGTGTGCTGTGCTTAGGCTTGTTCCCCAGATGCCCAGGCTGGCCACACAGCAGACTGAGCACCCAGAGGCTTTCTGAGCCAAGGCCTGAGGGATTTATTCTATTTCCTTTTAAAATTCAGTTTACTTATTCACATCACCCCAAACCCAACAGCCTAGAAGAGTACATAATTGAGAGTCCAGCCCACTTCCGCCTGTGCCCCACCCCCCCATGGGTATCCAGCCAAGTGGGTTTTTCAAGGCCCCAGTGTCCCAGGGCAAACAAAGACGTGGACACACCACACAGCTCCCTGATTCTGAGTTCTGTTTACAGATAAAGCACTATAATGAGAGGCTACACCCATTTGAGAATAAGTTTTTCTTTTTTGTGTTTTGAGACAGAGCCTCAAGCTATTGCCCTGGGTAGAGTGCTGTTACGTCACAGCTCACAGCAACCTCCAACTCCTGGGCTTAAGCCATTCTCTTGCCTCAGCCTCCCAAGTAGCTGGGATTACAGGCGCCTGCCATGCCTGGCTATTTTTTTTTTTTCCTGGTTGTAGTTGTCATTGTTGCTTGGTGGACCTAGGCTGGATTCGAACCCGCCAGCTCTAGTGTATGTGGCTGGCACCTAAGCCGCTGAGCTATAGGAGCCAAGTTGACAATAAGTTTTTCTTTTGAGCTTTCCATCACCTGCCTTGCTTTGGGTTGAGTGTATTCTGACTGATTATTATGAGCATGGCGGGCTGGCCAGATTGTGACCTGAGAATGTCCTGTCCACCAGGGAAGCTGGACATGTTGGTGGCCTCAGCAGGCACGGGTGGCACCATCACAGGCATTGCCAGAAAGCTGAAGGAGAAGTGTCCCAGCTGCAGGGTGAGTGGCACAGGAGGGCAGGAGAGGGGGACGGGGGCATTGCCGGCAGCCTCTGAGGCCTCGGCGCACGGAGCAGCCTCATTGCTTTAGACGGGAGCTCTCGGGAAAGCCATCGCCACCTTTTATGGCGCATGTCTGCACTGCCAAGGTGTCTGGGGTGACAGTGCTGCAGATAGGGCAGCCTGGCAGTCAAGACTGGCAAGAGCTGCTCTGGATGTGCTGTCCTTGCCCAGTGTTCAGGAGGGCTGAGGTTCCATCTGTCCTCTGTCATCAACTGGCAGCTCTGAGCTCTCTGGGGTTTGCAAGAGTCGGGGTAGGGTCTTGGATTACGGGTAAAGAGCAGGTGTGAGGAGGGGCTCCCAGAAATACCGGTTGGCCAGGCTGAGAGTATGTCTGCATTGTGACTGTATTGCCTGCCTCCCAAAAAGAGGTCTGTGCCCAGCATTGCCCATCATCCCCAAAGACTCCAGCCGCCCCCACACTGGCATCTGTGTGGGCTGCCCTGGGGCCCTAATCAGAGAAGCCCCTTAGGAGGTCACATCCTCCTGGTACCTGCCTTCACTTTTGAGTGTCCTGCACTGCCCGTTTAGCTCAGATGAGGTTGTCACACTCAAATGCTTGGGGCCTGGGTTCCTGCTCCGAGGCCCAGGACAGACCTGCTTCCCACCAGAGGTCTGAACAAGCACCTGGTTGCAGCTGTATTAGCCGCTGCAGTAATGGAGTGTCCAGGTGCGACTTTGCTGGACTTGAGCCCTGAGCTGCCTGGTTTGCAGATCATTGGCGTGGACCCCGAAGGATCCATCCTTGCGGAGCCAGAGGAGCTGAACCAGACAGAGGTGACGGCCTACGAGGTGGAAGGCATTGGCTACGACTTCATCCCCACAGTGCTGGACAGGACAGTAGGTTGGGGCCAGGGCTCCCCCTGCACAGTGGCACCACTACAGCCTCTTAGCTAGTCCCCCCACTGACTGGGAACTGAAGGGGGCGAGAGCAGTAAGTGGTGGTCTGGAAGGCAGAGACAAGGCAGAATGCAGCACGAGGCCCACGTTCCTGCCCTGACATTTCTATGCAAAGGCTTATAAATGGCTCTGTGGAAGGAGAGACAGCTGGGCAGCCCAGGCGGCGAGCAGTGAAAACTCTTGTTATGGGCTGGAATGGGTGGCCTTGGTCTGAGAGGGAATGGAGGGGAAAGGAATCTTTCAGGGACATGTGGCTGTACAGTGCGGGCTGGCAGGGCAGCTTTGTCATTTTTAAACATACTGGGACCCTTGGGGCAGAGAGGTTCAGATGTGCAGATATGAGTTCCAGTCCCTGGGCCATACCTGGGGTCCCAGCCACCTGGACGGGGGAGGGAGGGGTCGGCTGTGCCCAGGGTGAGATGTGCTCGAGACTGACAGGCTGTCTCTGGGGATGCAGGTAGTGGATAAGTGGTACAAGAGCAGCGATGAGGAGGCCTTTACCTTTGCCCGCATGCTGATCTCACAGGAAGGGCTGCTCTGTGGTGAGTGTGCCTGCCCAGGTCACCTGCAGGCAGGCAAGCTGGAGGCCCAGGTGCAGCAACTGTGAGCTACCTCCCAGATTGTGTTTCTAGGACGTGGCCACAGACACTGTCTAATCAAGACTAGCATGTCCTGCGGTGGGGGTCCCTTCCCAATAGGGTCCAAGGCTGGGACTGGGTGCCCCAAACACTCTGGGAAGGCTGGAGATGTTCTGTCCCTCTGTCCTCCAGGGCCCAAGGGGAGCTGGGATGGTGCCCTCGTTATCTCTGTCCTCTGTGGAGCCTGTCCAAGACCCACCCACCATCCTTCCCAGCTCCATCCCTGTCTGGCTGCTTGGCCAAGGAGTGCCACTGACTAGGCACACAGGGAGCAAAGGGGATGGCAGCTTGTCTGGACCTTGCTGGACTCAGAGAGCACACAGCATGCATCTGCACCTTACCTGGGAATATAACATATGTGGTCATTTAAATGTGGCTCCCCCCAGGTTGTGTCACTTTAGGGCAAGGACCTGGGAAATGAGAGGAAACCAGTTCTCAGTGTGGCCTGGTCCCCTGACAGCTGAACCCCAAACTTCAGCCTGGAAGCAAACCCCTCCTGATGGAAAACATTTTCTAAAGTGACATCATTAGGAGGGGCCTTGGTTCCCATCATTGTGGACTGTCTGTCTTCTCAGTCTGTGTAGCAAAGCCTGTGCCTTCAGGGCAGGTTCCTGGTGACCATCTCAGGGAGGAGGCTCTGTGCCCTGCGCGGTGCACTCCCGGGGTGCTCCTGGCTGGTGGGCTGGCTGTGGGCAGTGAGGCCGCAGGCCTGCTGTGGATGGAACCCTTGTTGCTCTGGGCCTTTTGTGTGTCCTCATGAGGGTTCAGTGGTGGATCTCTGAGCATGTGTGAAAGCTCCGGGGCTCATGAAGGGGGAAGTTCATACTCAGTGAGAAGTGGGGTCCTCGCAGCTCTCGGCCCAGTTCCCTCCCAGCGGCAGCGGCTCCGACAGTTGCCTAGGGACCTTGCTAAGCCTGTCTGAGCATGCATGTGTGCACGCAGGTGCTGAGCGTGGGTGTGTGCACTCAGGTGCTGAGCGTGCGTGTGTGCACTCAGGTGCTCACTGCTGGTGCTGCCCCGCGGAGCCTCCAGAGCCTGGCGGGTTACTCAGCATACATGCCTTGTGCATACCCACGTGCACACACATGCACACACCCATGCCTCCTTGCACTTTGCACTGATGGGTCTGACTGATGGGCCCTCTCGGCAGGTGGCAGTGCTGGCAGTGCAATGGCTGCGGCCGTGAAGGCTGCCCGGGAGCTACAGGAGGGTCAGCGCTGCGTGGTCATCCTGCCCGACTCAGTGCGGAACTACATGTAAGAGACATGCCCTCCTCTGGGGTCCCTGCCCATTGCTTCTGTCACCCACCGTGACCCCAGCACCTCCCCTGAGAGTGGCTCCAGTATGTGAGATTAACACAGAGCTCCCATGACAGGGTAGTTCCCCCAGTATCTGCCCTGTCACTCCTCTGAGGTCGCTGGGCCTCACAGACCAGCCAATCTGTATCCCCTGATGTCCACATGGGACAGGCCTTGTGCTGCCTCCAGTCACTCCCTTGCTCTGTGCCTCTCCCACACTCAGAGAGGAGTGTGGCCCCACGGGGAGAGCCCCGCTGGGTTTAGGTGGTCTGAGGCCATGGGCTTGACACAGTGTGATTCAGGTGGCCCCTTAGGACTTGCTGTGACAATGGCCACCAATTCCCTGACCCGATGTCAGGCCAACAGACCCAGCTCCTTCTTGGGCAGCTCAGATCCTGTGCCCCTGAATTCCTCCCTGCTAGACTGACACTGGCTGGCTTTCCTGCCCGGCCACTGGCACCCAGCCTTGAGCAGTGCTTGGCCTTATCCTCGCAACCCCGTACCTGCAGGGTTTCCTCCAAGGCCCTGGAGCTGCAGGCTGCATACCTCTGCTCTCGGGGCCAGTCAAGCTGGGGGGACCCCAGTGGGTCTCCACCTACAGGGAGATTTGTGCCAAGTTGCCCTGAGCAGGGCTTCTGCCCACCCTAGCAGTGCACCAGAACACCCATCTCCCAACACGCTTGGCTGGCCTGCTGTGCGTGCACACGTGTGTGCTCTGTGTGAGTGCGAGGCCAGAATTATACAAGGGGATGTGGAGACATGTGGGTGCTTGTGCACACCTGTGGCCTTGGGACAGGGGAGGGTCACCTCTGCTCCCTACTCCACCTGTCAGTCGCGGGCCTGCCTTTCTACGGAAGGTCCCTGCAGCGCTTTGGCTCTAAGTGGAATAGGCTTCTCTGCCAGAGCAGCTGCAGGGGGAGCAGGGAGAGGCCACATGGGCCCCAGGTGGGGACTGGCACAGAGGCTCTGCGGACCTTCTGTTCTGAACTCATTCCACTTCAGGCGCAGGCAGCCTGCTGACCAGGTGACCCCTGACCCATAGTTCCCATTGGGCTCCTGCAGTCTGGCCCCCAGGAACCTCCAACCAGCCATTTGGGGTCTCTGCTGACAGTGAGGGGTGGGCTTTCTCAGGCCAGGCCCCTGGGTGCAGTGTGTGCCCCAGCAAGGGCAGAGGCTGTGGAGGGACCATGGGGCTCAGTGACTCCATGGTCCCCACAGGTCCAAGTTCCTGAGTGACAAGTGGATGTTGCAGAAGGGCTTCCTGAAGGAGGCAGATCTGACCGTGAAGAGGCCGTGGTGAGTGCATCTTGGGCCGGAGCGCATGTTCTGGCACCGGGCACCTATGCTCTGTCCCACGCCCAGCTGGTGACAGGCGGGAAGGAGGTAGTCCCCTGACCTCCCCAACCTGCCCTCTGCCCTCAGGTGGTGGCACCTCCGGGTTCAGGAGCTGAGCCTGTCGGCACCACTGACTGTGCTGCCAACAGTCACCTGTGAACACACCATTGAGATTCTCCGAGAGAAGGGTTTCGACCAGGCGCCCGTGGTAGACGAATCAGGGTCAGTTCCAGCAGCCACCACCTAGGCCAGACTCTGTCCCCTGGGCTCTGCCAAAAACTGGAGCCTGAACCCCACACTCCTCCGTGTCAGTATTGCTGGGTGGGGTAGCCATGGGCCCTCAGTAGACAGGCGCCTGGGTCCCTTTGCATGCAGAGTCCAGAGCACTGGCCCACCCCAGGAGGTCCTGTCCCCAGGCAGGGCTGGGACACTGACCCCTTCTGCATGCTTTCCCAGGGTGATCCTGGGCATGGTGACACTCGGGAACATGCTGTCATCCCTGCTGGCTGGGAAGGTGCAGCCCTCAGACCAGGTCCACAAAGTTATCTACAAGCAATTCAAGCAGGTATGTGCTGGCCACCCACCTGGCCCTTGAGGCAGGACACTTCCTGTGTGAGGTTCCAGGTCCCACTCAGAGTCAGCATGCTGCAGCTGGCAGCACCTTGCAAAGCTGTGAATCTGCTCCACCTTTGCTGATGGAAAAGTCTGGGGAGGGGGCTCTCACCAGCTTGGAGGGTGATGCCTGGAGGTCACTTGTGGCCCAGAGACCCTCACCCCAGCCACAGTGGCACCTGCCAGGCTGCACGGTCCCCGGCACTCTGCCCTCATGCTTCTCTGCACGTGTCTCCATTAAAGAAAATCAAGTGAGCTTAATTATCTAACAAGAACAACAGTGTTCTGAGAGAAGTCCCCGCGTGGCCACTTGTGCTGGTCAGACTCCATGGTTGGTCTGGACTCCAGGGTGGCCACAGGCAGCACCTGAGTGTCCACAGAAACCGCCCCCATGCTCAGGGAAGGGGGGTGTTGGCTGTTTCATGCTGGAAGGGCTAAGGGGTTCAGCCCAAATCCAGGCAAGGATTTGACTTTGCCCCTCTCACACATGCCCAGAATCCCCCAGGACCAGCTTCTGTTTCCATTCCCAAGCTGGCAGGGTCTGAAAGAGCCAAGGACACTGCAGTGCTGCCCTTGCCCTGGGACCTGGCTGGGCTCCTGGTGGTGGGGAGGGGACGAAGACACTGTGAAGGGACAGGCCCTGTCCTGGTGCGCCTTCGGGTGTGAGCTCACCATCCCTGGGTCATCACAGTATCACCCAGAGAAATAGGCTGCGGCCATAACCACCCTGCCCCAAACCTGCTTCCTCTTCATCCCCTAGCCCTGGCAGCCACTGAGCTCTGTCTTTGAGGGGGTGTCAGAGTTGGAGACCGCAGCCCTTGACCCCGCTCAGACTGGTTCACGTGGTGTACACACTTAGGGCCCCTCCGAATCCCTCCTAGTTTGAGAGCTCATCAAGGTGTCTTTTTACTGCCCTCTTAAGTTCCCTCTGTGCAGTGCCGGGTCTTTCCCATTGTCCTGTGTTTCTTTCCTGGGCCAGCGGGCAGAGGACTCTGGGGCCACAGCGCTCAACCCCAGAGCAGTGACCAGGCTTCTCTTCCAGATCTGCCTGACAGACCCGCTGGGCAAGCTTTCACATATCCTGGAGATGGACCACTTCGCCCTGGTGGTCCATGAGCAGATTCAGTGTGAGTGGGGCTCTGATGGGGCCGGGCCACCTCGCCTTCCGCCTGAGGGGCTTTGGGTAGCAGGTGGTACTCTGCTGCAGTTACCCCAGCCTCCCCCATGGCCCCGGCTGATGGCCATGCTCAGCTGTGTGTCCAGAGTGCACCCAGAGTGCCTGGGTGTCCAGGGCCCCCAGCATCCCAGGGGGCAACTCCATGAAAACCTAGAACAGGTGAAAACCTCCACCCTTTGACATCTGCATCCCTCCACGGGGCTGCATTTGCTCAGCAGTCTCTTGGCCTTTGAGGGGCTGCTCTGAACACTCTGAGCAGTGGTGCCTTGGTAGGCCCACTCCTGGTCACAGAGCTGTTTAGGCATCCTGACCGCATCTCTCTAGGCCTGGAGAGGGCTCTCACGTTCTGGGTCAGGGATTGCAGGCACTGGCCCGGGGCCCACAGGGAGAGCTGGGAGGGGCCATGGTGACCAGAGTCTGGGTAGTGCACACTCAGCTGGGCTGTCCCTCCAGGACCTTGGGCAGCCTGAGCTTAATTCCCTCTCCTGTCCTTGGCTCTGCAGTGGGACCAGGCCTGGTCAGGAGTGGGGGGCCTGCAGGTATGTACGCCCTGTCCACCCCAGCCCTTGGAGGTGGCTCTTGGGCACCGTGTTACCTGCGGCCTGTTCTGCCAGCCAGCTGCAGCCCTGCCCCGGCAGCGTGGTGGAGGGGATGGCCTGGGTTTCTGGGCTTCCTTAGGTAACACCCTGGGCTCCCTGGCGGCTCCAGCAAGGGGCTGGGCAGCGGCTCAGGCTCAGAACCCCCGCACCTGTATACCTGAGGCCCTGTTTTCTCCTCGGCAGACCACAGCAACAGCAAGTCCAGCCCACGGTACACGGTGTTCGGGGTCGTCACTGCCATTGACTTGCTGAACTTTGTGGCCACCCGGGAGCGACACCGGCAGTGAGTGAGGATGGCCGGGTGCTCTGCCTCCCCTCACTCTCCCTGCTTGGAGCATTAGCCTTTGCTTTTGTAAACACTCGGCAAATGTGCGATTAACTACCGAGGCTGGGCACTGCTTACCCCAGACGGGCATGGAGGAGTGGGTGGGACCCCCAGGCCCAACCCCACTGACACTCTCGCCCTCAGTGAGTGTTTATGGTGTCTCAAATTAAATGTATCCTTCTCTAATGTGACGACCTCCTAAGATGTTTCATCAGGCTCAGTGCCTGTAGCTCAGCAGCTAGGGCGCCGGCCACATACACCCGGGACTGGTGGGTTTGAACCCGGCCTGGGCCTGCTAAACAACGACAACTACAACAAAAAAATAGCCGGGTGTTGTGTCAGGTGCCTGTAGTCCCAGCTACTCGGGAAGCTGGGACAAGAGAATCACGTAAGCCCAAGAGTTGGGGGTTACTGTGAGCTGGGACACCACGGCACTCTACTGAGGGTGACATAGCAAGACTCTGTCTCAAAAAAATATATACATATATACACACACATATACATATATAAAAATTTTAAAAAGTTAAAAAAGAATAAAAGATGCTTCATCAATAAGATGTGGGAAGAGGAGTTGCCAGGTGGAATGAACAGTAGCCCAGCTGGAGCAGAATGGAGTGAAAGCAAAGTGTCTTTACCAGAGAAGAGTCCAGAATGGGGGAGCCCGGGTCAGTTAGTTCAGTGTCCACTCTCTCGGGCAGGGTGGCCCACTCAGGGCTGAGATGAATGGAGCAGCTTGCGTGTTCGGGGTTTTTTAAATTGAGGTGGGATTCACATAACTGAAATGTTATACAAATCAATAACCTTAAATTAATAATTTTAAAGTGAACAGTTCAGTGGCATTTAGTACTTTCTGAGAGCTGTATGGCCACCACCTCCATCAAGTCTCAAAACCTCCTCACCCCACCCCCACCCCACAGGCTGTGAAGCAGTCACTCCCCACCTCCTCCCTGTGTCCCCAGCAGCCTGTGATCTGCTTTCTGTCTCTGGTGTTACCTTCCTAGACTTTTCATAGAGATGGAATTGCAGAGTGTAGGCTTGTGTGTCCAGCTTAGTCCATTTTGTGTGATGTTTTTAAAGTCCATCTGTTATAGCATGAACTTCATTCCTTTTTGTGGCTGATTAATATTCTATTGTTGGAGAAATCACATTTTATTTATCCATTGATGGATGTTGTTGGTTTTTGTTTTTTTTGAGATAGAGCCTCAAGCTGTCACCCTGGGTAGAGTGCTATGGCATCATAGCTCACAGCAACCTCCAACTTAATTAAGCTTAAGCGATTCTCTTGCCTCAGCCTCCCAAGTAACTGAGACTACAGGTGCCCACCACAACGCCTGGCTATTTTTGTTGTTGTTGCAGTTGTCGTCGTTTGGCAGGCCTGGGCTGGATTCGAACCCACCAGCTCTGGTGTATGTGGCTGGCTCCTTAGCCGCTTGAGCCACAGGCGCCGAGCCCATGGGTGGACATTTGGGTTCCCTCCGTCTTTCAGCTACCGCTCACCGTGAACATTGGCGGACACGTCGTCTGAACACCTTCCATTTTGCCTGGGCGTGTCCGCAGGGGGCCATGGCAGGGTGATTCTGTGGTGACCCACGTCCTTCCTGACACTTGTTATTTTCCCTTTTTGAAATTATTGCTGTGGCCGCGCTGGCACACGTGAGGTGGTATCTCACGGTTTTTTGGGAGATTTTCATCTGCTTGCTTGTTCTCTGTGTAGGAAAAGACCATGACACGTTTTTAAATTGGGTTGTCATTTTTGTTGAGCTGTAGGAGTTTTCATTATATCCTGAACTCTTACATGATTTGCGATATTCTCTCCCATTCTGTAGATTATCTTTTTACTTTCTTAGCTCTTTGGTGCATCCACGTTCCCACTTTGGTGAAGTTGAAATCTGCCTATTTTTTCTCTGTTGCATCTTTTGTGGTCATATCTGTGGCCAAATGCAAAGTCATGAAAATTTTCTTCTGAGAGTTTCATGGATTTAGCTTCATTGATTGTTTTGAGTTAATTTTTGTGGGTGGTGTAATGTGGGCATTTGCCATCCTTTTGTGTGTGAGAGCCATTGGTCTTGTCATTTTTTGTGGAAGAAACTGTCCTCTCTCCATGGGATGGCCTGGCAATGTTGTCAAAATTCTACTGGACACAGACACGAGGGCTCACTGCTAGACTCTCAATTCTGTCCATGCGTCTGTCTTTTCAGCTAGTACGGCCAGAGGGCTAGCACCGCACCACCTTGATGGCTGTAGCTTCATGGCAAGTTTTGGAATTGACAGTGTGAGTCTTTATTCTGTTGCAGATTGTTCAGGAAATAATGTGTCCTGATGTCTTCATGTTTCGTATGTGTGGAATTCTTCAAGCATCTTAGATTCCCATGTGAAACTAATAAGAGTTCCAAAAAGAAAAGAGAAAACTGGGAAGGGTATCGCCAAGTGAAATAATCCACGGAGCTGCCCGGGAACAGAAAGGCATGACTTTGCAGGGTGAGAGGCCCACCCAGTGCCTGGGGTGATGATGGAGAAAGAGCCACACGGCAAATAGCATGAAATGTGAGGTTACTCAGGACACGCAGACCCTAAGCACCTCCGGGGGTGGGGGTGGGGGTGTCCCAGCTCACAGGGAAGGCCTGGGCTGGGAGAGGCATCCCGCTCACGGCGAGGGTCGGGCACTCGAGGGGTCCAGGTGCAGGCACAGGAGACAGGAGCTTCAGCCTGTCCAGGAATGCACTCCACCAGAATGAGGGAGGCAAAGAGAGGGAACGGGCTTCCCCACAGGCGCACCATGGGAGGTATCCTCAGGGCGAGGTGAGGGGGATCTGGGGTGACAGGGGGCCCAGCAGCATACATCGCAATAGAAGGATGGAGACACCAGGAATGACGCACTAAGGGAGGGAAGGAAACCAGGACATCAGGGCCAGGAGAAAACGGGGAGCTGCGTGCTGGTGGAGGGGCACAGCAGTACAGAGGGAAGGACACAGAAGAGAGGCGCGGCGTCCCTGCTAGTGAGCCGGGTCTTCCTTCTCCAGGGAGGGGTGTTGGTGGATGACATCTACACCCAAAGCAAGTAGGAAGCAACACAGACAGGTTGAGAGGAGCACCAGACACCTTGACCTGGCTGGGAGGGGGGACAGCTGCCCCAGCACCTGCACCAGCCTGACCTGATTTCTGTATAACTTTGATAGAGAACAGCCTTTCTACGTGAAGCTGGTAAATCCCAGTTTATGGAAAAGGGAGTGGAAATAACTTAGTGTGTTTTGATAATCTTAGTAGTCAATTATTAGGCTTTTGTGGGCGGTGCCTGTGGCTCAGTGAATAGGGCGCCAGCCCCATATACCAAGGTGGCAGGTTCGAACCCGGCCCCGGCCAAACTGCAACAAAATAATAGCCAGGCGTTGTGGTGGGCAACTGTAGTCCCATATATTCAGGAGGCTGAGGCAAGAGAAGCGCTTGAGCCCAAGAACTGGAGGTTGCTGTGAGCTGCGAAGCCACAGCACTCTATGAAAGGTGACAGAGTGAGACTCTGTCTCTAAAAAAAAAAAAAAAAATAGGCTTTTGTGAATCAATGACCTGACCGATGAAACAGTTGAGTGGCTGGAAACAGCACACTCTGGTGACCCCTGAGTCCTGTAATTACAAGACTCCTGGACAGGTCAGCAGTCCACTCCTCAGTCAATGCTGACATACAGTGATTTTTTTTTGAGACCATCTCAAGCTATTGCCCTGGGTAGACTGCCGTGACATCATAGCTCACAGCAACTTTCAACTCTTGGGTGCGAGAGATCCTATTGCCTCAGTTTTTCTATTTTTAGTAGAAGCAGAGTCTGGCTTTTTGCTCAGGCTGGCCTTGAACCCATGAGTTCAGGCTATCCACCTGCCATGGCCTCCCAGAGTGCTAGGATTACAGGCATGAGCCACTGCGCCTGGCCACATTCAGCAATTTGTAACAGGACTATTGTAGCCTGGCCTTTAGGGACCATGGAGAGAACCGATGAGAGTGACGCTGCTGTCACCAGGGAGCTTAAGAGCCACCTCTGTCCCCACCTCTGGGTCTGCACAGAGAGCCCACTGCCCCCATTGGACAGGCTGCATCCCTGACTGGCAGCCAGCACACGTGCAGATAGAGCTGAAGCCTGCAGCCCTGAGGTGCCCTCCTCACTCCTCATGTGCCAGGGCTGCCGCCTCTGGGGTGGGCCTCCAATACAAGTTCCTTCATTAGCTTTTGGGCTGGGCTGGCCCTGAGTAGTCAGCCTGGGCTTCAGCAGCTGCCCGCATCCTGTCCCCCAGTCATCTGCCCCTGCCCATCTCCCCCGACGTCATCCTACCTTGCCCACACCTGCCACATCCCCCCCTCCTCTTCCCATCTCTTGTGCTACCACCTCTCTTCCAGCCCTTCAGACAGAGCCTGTCACTGCCTGCTGGCGTCTTCCCCTCAGCATCCTGCTGGCGTCTTCCCCTCAGCATCCTGCTGGCGTCTCCCCCTCAGCATCCTGCTGGTGTCTTCCCCCTCAGCATCCTGCTGCCAGTTCATAGCATCCCTGGTGGTAGCGGAAGGTATCTTTTGGAAGCATTTGGTTGCTTGGCCATTCTTTGTCTCTGAGAGTGAGGCCCTTACCAGGTGTGCTGCTGGCAGGGAGGCACCTGTGGGGTCATGCGCAGCCCCCTCAGTGTTCCCCTGGCCGCCTCCCGTGGGCGGTGTCAGGCAGTGTCCCTGTGAAAGCCAGCGTCGCCCCAGTGGAGGGCATCAGGGCTGCATCAATCCAGTGTGTGGCCCTTGGATTAACTTTACTACATGATTTAGCTAAGGGTGAGAATTTTTAAGCGTTTTTTTGAGACAGAGTCTCTGTTGCTGTGGGTTGAGTACAAGGGTATCACTATTGTTCACTATAACCTCAAACCCCTGGGTTCAAGTGATCCTCTTGCCTCAACTTCCCAGGTAGCTGGGACTACGGGTGCCCACTATGAATGCCGGGCTAATTTTTTTTTTTTTTTGAAACAGAGTCTGGCTATGTCGTACTTGGTAGAGTGCCATGGTATCATAGCTCACAGCAACCTTAGACTTTTGGGCTTAAGTGATTCTCTTGCCTCAGCCTCCCAAGTAGCTGGAACTACAGGCACTGGCCACAACACCTGGCTATTTTTTGGTTGCAGTTGTCATTGTTGTTTAACTGGCCTAGGCCAGGTTCGAACCCGCCACCTTTGGTGCAAGCCAGGCTAATTTTTTTATTTTAATAGAGATAGGGTCTTGCTCAGGCTGGTCTCAAATTCCTGAGCTCAAGGGATCCTCCTGCCTCAGCCTCCCAGAGGGCTGAGATTACAGGATTGAGCCACCATACCTGGCCTAAAAATGTATTTTTAATAAAACTGTGGTAAGCCACATAATGTCTCTCCACTCCTGCAAAGGTATCAGATCCTGATCCCTGAGACCCATGATTGTGACCTTTATAAAAAGTCCTGGGCAGATGTGATCAAGTTAAGGATCTTGAGACAGGAGCTTCTGCTGGATTATCCAGGAGAGCCCCCAACGCAGTCACATTTTGTCTTCAGTTTTCCCAGCGACAGCTGCGAGATTGCCCCCCATATTATTTCACTGAGGCTACTGTAAAAAGTACCCAGATTGGGTGGCTGTAACAACAGGAATTTATTCTCTTCAACAGTTTTGGAGGCCAGAAGCACAAAACCAAGGTGTGATGGTTCTGTCAACCTTAAATGATGAGATTCAAAATATATAATGAAGTATAGAGTTTATTCCAGCACAAAACTTGAGGGTGGTCATCCAGGAACTATAGATGCCAAAAGAATGGATCAGCATTCCGGAGTGGGGGAGTTGAGGTTTCACTCTATCAGCAGAGACAGCGAGTTTAACAGGGGTGTGGCACTTCCAGGCTGGTACAAGTCACAGCTGCATTCACAGGAGGACCAGTTTAACTTCCCATAAGCAGGGTAAGGGTCTTCAGAGGTCTTATCTCTGGCACCTTTCAGACTCCCTAATCATCTACAGAGGATTGAGGAAGAGATTTGACCGTAAGCAGAGAAGCAGAAGCTGCAGCTGCATGGTGTGACTTCTGCCACAAAGCCACACTCCTCTCAAGGCGTGAAATAACTAAAAGTCCCAACACCTTTATTAAGTTTCCCAGTTTCCCCTGAGGCCAAGACCCTGAATCTATTCTAAGTCTCTCCCGACTCCTGGGGGTCTGCTGGCCATGTCTGTTCCTGGATTGTAGAAGCATCACCTGATGTCCACTTTCAGGGCCATGTGGCGCCCATCCCCATGTCCAAATGACCCTTCTCTGAGGATACCAGTCCCTGGGTTAGGGCCACCCTAATGACCTCACGTAACCTTTATCACTTCTGTAAAAATTCCCTCTCCACATTAGCTCACAGCCTGAGGTCTGGGGGTTGGGACTTCAGCAGATGAGTTAGTTGCAGGACGTAGTTTAGCTCACAGCAGCCCCACCCACACATGCTTCCCGGTGCTGGGACTTAGCTCTGCAGGACGCTCAGCCGTGGACCCGGTCTGATCTGGGTTCTTAGGCAAGTTGCCTCCATTTCCACGTCCACCAAATGGAGATGAGGTCTGCTTCACAGGTACTTAGAATCAAAACAGACAGGTCAGGGCCCCACCCAGCAGCCCGTCTGGGTAACTGGTAACACTGGCGGCACGGTCCCTGTGTGTCTTCCTCTCTCAGGGCGCACTTCACGGACCACACCTGCCCATGCACACATGCTTCCCAGGCCCTGCACACTGTCTGGGCTTCAACCCATCGTTACATAACCAGACTAAATTCAACCTCTGCAGAGAGTGATTCCAAAGCTTGTTATCTGAGATTTTTTAGAAAACCTCTGAGCCTGAGATTTCATGGCATCCACTTCATGGCAGTTCAGTATGTTTACCTCTCTCACCCGTTAGTAAGAAACAGGAACCCAACAACTCAGAACGTCTCAAGCCACTTAGTTCTCTAGGAAGTATGCTTTGGAATGTGATAATTAGTTAGAGCAATAATTTCCATGTGTGTGGAGCTGTCAGCCGTAAACACTGTTCCTCTGGACAAAAGGACTCCTGTGAGATGAATAGCTGTACAGTGTTGTTGGCCAAGTATGGATTGAAACGCAGTTAGGTTTCTTTTCGCAGAACTTCTCAGGGCCTTTAGTGTGCTAATGAGCATGGAGAACCCGTATCCGTTACAATCTGGTTCTGCTGCCAGTGACAGGGTGGCTTTGTTCATTAGTTTCTCTCACTGAGTCTCAGTCCAGAAGCCAGCAGGCCAAGGCTGATGTGGCAGCTCCATCAGTAGCAGAAACCTGAGCCCTTTCCACATGTTAATTCTCCATCCTCAGCACATGACTTCTACTTCAAGATCCAAGAAGAGTGAGCGGGCCTCCTCCCTTGGTGGACACTTCCTGAAGGCCTATGTGAGGTGGGGGTGTTTTGCGCAGATCCCAGTGGCTGATTGGGCTGCCAGCCTACAAAGTGCCTTTGGGTGAGTCTGAGAAAAGGAGCCTTCTTTAAATGCAGCCCTGAAGACACACAGCTTAGCAAGCAACAGGGCCTTTGTGCAAATTAGAAAAATAGTGAATGAGCTTAATACTGCCTTTTCTCCAAGTGGGCACAGGACGCTGCCCTGTGCAGGGGACGTGCCTGGTTGAAGAGAGCTCAGACTGGGTTTCAGCCTTCAGATCCCACCTTCCTTCACACTCTTGCTCTGGGCACAACCTACAGTAATTAGCACAAGTGGCTGCTCTGTCCACTGGCCTTAACTCAGGGAAGTGGCTGTACTTAGCTGCAAGGAAAGCTGGCAGTATTGCCTGGAGCTTTTATTCAAGAGGCCAGAGGCCCGGCTAAAAAGGGCACGGGAGCTCTGGTCCTAAGGAAAAAGCAAACAATAAAGATTGGGTGCCAGTTTTGGTCTCTGCCACCTGCCCACAAAGGGACGGCACCCACTCACCTTAAAATGCCGTGTCCCACAGGGGGAATCCACAGAGCTCTTTGGCTCCAGCTGGGATCAGCCAAGTGGCAAGTGGGCCCCTTGCTCCCTCTGCTGTAGAGGTGGCACCAGTCACATGAGGCTGTGCCCATCAGCAAGGGCTGCTCCTGGGCTGTGAGGGACTCCTCTCATTATTCACTCCTGAGATGGAACCTCCCAGTGCTGATCACCCTCCCCCATTGTCCGCTGCAGCTAAGGCCTGGGTACTTGATGTCATAGATGATATATACTATACTGTGCTTACCTCACAGGCCATTCTATATACTCTAAGGAGAAATTCTTTGTTTTTTTCTTAAGACAGAGTCTCACTATGTTGCCCTCAATACAGTTCCATGGTGTCACAGCTCACAGCAAACTCAAAGTTGAGTTTTGAGAGCTCATTTCTCATGTGGAGTGCTGTACTAAGATTATACTGTAAGAAAACTGGCCAGGCTCAGGCCTGTAAACCCAGCACTCAGGGAGGCTGAGTCAGGTGGATCGCCTGAACTCAGGAGTTTGAGACCAGCCCAAGCAAGAGAACCCTATCTCTAATAAAATAGAAAAACTAGCTGGGTGTTGTGGCAGCACCTATAGTCCCAGCTAGCTCCTTGGGAGGCTGAAGCAGAAAGATCACTTGAGCCTAGGAGTTAGAGATTACTGTGAGCTATGACATTGCAGTAGTCTACCCAGGGCGATAAAGTGAGATTCTATCTAAAAAAAAAAAAGAAACATTAGCAGGTTGCAAACTAATACAGCCTCTTTGGAAGTATGGAGAATCCTCAAAGAATTCAAAATAGACCTTCCATTTGATGATCTCACAATCCCATTGCTAGGCATCTACCCAGAAGAAAAACAAATCATTTTATCATAAAGATATATGTACTAGATTATTTATCAGAGCTCAATTTACAATTGCCAAGATGTGGAAACAACCCAAATGCCCATCAACCCAGAAAGGGATTAATAAACTGTGGTATATGCATACCATGGAAAACTATTCAGCCATAAAAAGACAGACATTTTACATCTATTATATTAACCTGGATGGAGTTGAAGAATACTTTTTAGTAAAGTATCTCCAGAATGCAGAGCAAGTATCCAGTGTACTCAGTGCTAACATAAATCCAGTGGACGAACTAACACCCACATGACAGAAAAACTCAACTTAATTCAAGCTGGGGGAGGAGGGTGGGCGAGCTCCCACCTAATGGGCACAATGTAAGGGTCCAGGGCACACCTCCTGCGTGCAGGACACAACTACAACAGGGACTTTATCTAACACAAACAGAAACACACTTGTAGCCTCACCATTTGTGCCCTCATATTAATCTGAAATTAAAAAACAAGATGAGCTGGTGTGATGGCAAGTTGACTATTGTCCCAGCTACTCAGGAGGCTGAGACTGGAGTATCACTGGAGACCAGGAGTTTGAGGCTGCTGTGAGCTGGGCTGAGGCCACTGCACTTTGGGGTCTTAAGTGAGACAGAGCAAACAGAGACTCTGTGTCTCAAAAAAAGAAGAAAACAATTAATATAAACCAAAATATTTAAAATATATGTGATTTTTCTATAAGCCATTTTGTAAAAATATCTAAGCAACCAAAATCATCAAAATGTTCCTTTTAAACATGCTGGAATAAAAGAATTTCTGACTTTATTAAGCCATTAGTGGTTTTCACAGGGACGAAGTCTTAGATGCATTCAATTAATAACAAAAAGAATGAAAATACCTAGTCAATATCTTCAAATTATCATTTTTATATAAAATACTTACAAATGTCCAATAACAACACTGACTAGTGCGTTATAGACAACAAAAGTTAGACCTGGAGGGGCCCTGGTGAGGGACCGTCCCGCAGAGGCCAGACCCGGGCCAAGTGATGGTGACACGAGTTTAGGGGAAGCAGCCCATGGGCCCCGGAGCCACCTGTGGGGCCACCACTCACTGTTTTCAGTTATGTGGGCTCACAGTCTTGCAAATTTTAGTTAAAACACAATTATGTCATTGTCCCCACCAACTTAGCATCTTGAAAAGATGTGCGGAAAACCCTCTCGTTAAGAAGGTTCTGCCCTAGTGTGTAACTACAGTATACGCGTAGTGGGCACCTGTGCCTAAACCTACGTTAAAGGATCAATTGTGGCACACAGTTAATGCCCTCCCCCAAAAAACCCACAATTATGTTCTTCCAAGGGTATTTACTTGCCAAAAAAATAGTATGGAGATTTAAGGTCTTAGTGAAGGTAAAAAGATCTAATTATACATGGGCAAAAATAATTTGTACTAAGAATTTCTCCTGGCTCAGCGCCCATAGCACAATGGTTACAGCACCAGCCACATACCCTGAGGCTGGAGGGTTCAAGCCTGACCCAGGCCAGCTGAACAACGGTGACAACTACAATAAAAAATAGCTGGGTCTTGTGGTGGGTGCCTGTAGTTCAGCTACTTGGAAGGCTGAGGCAAGAGAATCGCTTAAGCCCAAGTTGCCACAGCGCTCTACTGAGGGTGACATAGTGAAACTGTCTCAAAAAAAAAGAAAAAAAAGAATTTCTCCTTAGAAGGGGGTGCCATGGCCCAGTGGGTAGAACGCTGGCCACACACTCCAGGACTGGTAGATTAGAGCCCGGCCTGGGCCTGCTAAACAAACAAACAAACAAAAAAACATAGCTGGGCCTTGTGGCAGGCGCCTGTAGTCTTGCTACTAGCGAGGCTGAGGCAAGAGAATCGCTTGAGCCCAGGACTTTGAGGTTGCTGCGAGCTGTGATGCCATAGCACTCTATTAAGGGCAATATAGTGAGACTCTGTCTTAAGTAAAAAACAAAGAATTTCTCCTTAGAGTATATAGAATGGCCTGTGAGGTAAGCACAGTATAGTATACATCATCTATGACATTTGCATAATTCAACAAAGTGTGAATCACTAGGTATTTAATCCAAATATAGTTCCTGTTTAGGGATTTGCTAGACCACTATTCATTCCCTCATCTTCCTCTAGATCAGCAGTTCTCACCCTGTGGGTCGTGACCCCCAGGAACTGTATGAAAGGGCTGCGGCATCAGGAAGGTTGAGAACCACTGCTCTAGATAGAATCTGGTTATAAACATGATTTCACAGATAGAATCAACCTTGTAAGTCAAATCTTTCCTTTCCACAGATGAAACCCTTGCAGCCAGGAGAAGACAGGTGCACTTTTTAAAAGTACTTGCATGTGCTGACTGACCAGCCTCTGAGCTGGAGCAGCTGCCAGGAGACCCAGCACACAGAGGGAGGACACCCTCGGCGACGGCCTCACACCCTCCAAATGCAACCAGCACCTGCCTCACCACGAGATTTTATGATGCTGTATAAATAAACTGTGAGAGGTAACATGTTACCCTACTCATGAATCATTTTCTTGTTACTGTCAGAATAATTAGATTTATGAAAACTACAATAAAAAAAGAAACCTACCCCCCCCCCCGGCCAAATGATGAAATGAAGCCATTTAAGAAAAGATTCCTGAAAATGTCCGTGATCTGACTGTTCCAGTACAGTGCGATCTTTCCTCTTTTTTTTTTTTTTTTTTTGAGACAGAGTCTCAAGTTGTTGCCCTGGGTAGAGTGCTGTGGCGTCACAGCTCACAGCAACCTCAAACTTGGGCTCAAGCGATCCTCTTGCCTCAGTTTTTCTATTTTTAGTAGAGACAGCGTCTCACTTTTGCTCAGGCTGATCTCGAACTCCTGAGCTCAAGCAATCCACCCGCCTTGGCCTCCTAGAGTGCTGGGATTACAGGCGTGAGCCACCGTGCCCGGCCCCTTCATTTCTTAAATGTGCAGGGAGGGGTTGTTACAAACCCTACAGGGCCCCGCAAAACATGGAGACAGTTTGCATGTTTTACATAAAGTGGAAAAGCTGCTTTTGGTTACATGAGCTTTATAAAATAAAACATCCATAAAGCATGTTTCTGTTTTTAATTGTTTTGATTTGATAAATCAATTGCTTCACAAAAATCCTTTTTAAAGACAACAATCCAAGAAAACATATTGTTACAGTATTCACATTTTAAAGATTGTCAGTTTCAAAGACCGAACATAACTAGAACCAAGGAAGCTTGCTGAATTCCTTCTGTCTCTAACTGCCAGAGTCGGCCACTCTGGTGAGCAGCGCCTATGGGTGTGCTGCCCCCGAGTCCAGAAAGTGCTCCGTCGCCGACGTGACCGTTCAACAGGTCACACAGAAAGCATGCCTGGAATCCTCTGCTGGGAGGTTTTCTCTGCATACTTGGCATTCAACTTATCTCATCACCTGAAGCTGAAACACAGCACACCACGCTCGTCCCCCTCGGAGCTTGCTGGGACACACAATGACATGCTCAGTTTCGGTCTCAAAACCCACTCAGAAGGACCCTTCAAAAGGAAGACCCACCAAGAACAGAGTGGGGCTAGACTCTGGTCATCTGAAATGGAATCTGACAGGGGACCCACTTTGTAGTCTCTCCACTGTGAGAAGGCTGGAAAACGGGGCCTGGAAGGGACGAACTGACAACAAACATGCCGGGCGGCTGTCTCCTTAACTGACCAGCACCGTGCAAAAGTGACCTAAAAGCGCCTTAGTGATTCATGGAGAACGTAAAGGAAACTCAGGCTATGGCAGCAGTGCCTTCCCTTTAAACCTCTGCCCTACTTCTCTGAATTTAGTTACCTAAGAACTTAGAGCTTAAGGAACGGGTTTCAGCTGTGAGAATCATGTGCGCCATTCAGCATGGATGGTCAACTCTCCAGCCGGAGCACCCTGCTACCACCTAAGTCTCCAGACAGCGTCGTGCATGTCACCTGGGATGGATCAGTGGCAGCTCTCAAGAGCAATCACAGCTCACTGAAGCCTCCAACTCCTGGGCTCAAGTGAGCGTCGCACCACCGGCCTACCCCGTAGCTGGGACCACACGGTCAGCCACCGCGCCTGGCTTGGTAGCATGCATAGACACACCGTCTACGGCTCCAGCGAACATAATTTCTAACAGGAAGAAACAGTGACCAATCCACAAGTCCACATTCTGTGAATGTTTCCACTAATTTGCACGAAAGAACAGGAAGCCAAAGAGGCAGAGGGTGCGAGGGAAGGTAGGAAGAGGGGCCGGCTCTCCCGTGGCTCATTTTGAGTAGTCCCTCAAAGCTGGAACTTCAGTAAAAATAACCTTTCAGACTTGTGTAGACCTGACCTAAAATATTAAAAACTGTTGTTAAATAAGAAATGCAATGGCTGCTTAAAAATGTTATTCTCTCCCCCAAAAAGATGATAATCAAGTTTTTCTTTTAGTTATAGCTCCTGAAATATTTTTAAAGTAATTTCTTACTGACTTCAACTTATCTAGGAAATATTCTCCTATGATCAATTAATATATTGGGGGGGGGATCAGCTACAGAAAAGAATCTGCGCTAGCTCAAAATGTCCCTCAATGTAACCCTGGTCGGTTTATAACAGACTGAGACTGCTGAGTCTCAGGAACTGATGCCCTCTGACTGTCCTGTACAAACAGACAGAGCTGAGAGCTGTGCCGCCTGCACCCCACTGAAGATGACACAAAGGGATCTGTGTGAAACAAGGTGGCCAGTTGTCTCTGAGACAAAGCCCCGCTCCCACCAAACAAATCAAAGTAAATCAAGACAACAAAACCCAGCCTATTCTCAATTCGTCTTATTACCAGCAAACAGAAATCCTAAATCATTCCAAGTCTTGTACCAAAAAACAGAAGTCCAAAAACCACTCCCAATCTCAGGTCATCAGTGAGAAGGGAAGGCTCTGGAAATTCTAAAACAAATAAGTGACCCTAGGGACCCCTGCAAATGTGTGTGAACCAACCAGGTGGGGGTCGCCATCGTGCCGTCTTCAGTGTATTTTAACTCATTGCTACGCCTTCGTGGATAATCTGCTAACTACGGGACGAAGTTGGGAAGTTTGCTATTTACCCTAGCTCTGAGCCAGTAGGGTAGAGCACATTTTATATTAGTTTGTAGTAAACAGTCTATGCATAACATATTTCAAATAAAAAATCCTAAAGTAAGATGCAGCGGCCACATGAAGGAGCCGTGCAGCTGCCGTCAGGGCTCAGGATCTGGCACAGGCACAGGGAGGGCTTGTCTCTGGACTTCCGGCTATCGTCCACCCCACTGACCCGAAGTTCTACTTAGCAAACACCTTCAATACATGTTTAGATCAGTCTGAGCATTCTATATAAAGAAAAATTTGAAAATACCAAGATTTCATTAATAGCTTTTTGTTTTATAGCAGTAAATGTGAATCGCTACCTGAGGGAGCAGAGGACCACAGGATGGGAGCTGACTTTGGGCAGGTTTCTTAAATTTGTAAATTCAGAACATCACAAATTGAAATAGCAAGCATGTACTGTTTCTTCTCTAGAAATTTTATCCTCAATATAATCATAATCCAATTCATAACGAATTTATAAAAATAGCTTTTTATCCAATAATTCCAGCAAGGTAAAAATAGGAGTTTCTTTTTATATATAGCAAATGAAACAGGCTCACTGAATATGAGAGAACGCAACTTGTCAAACCGCCCCTCTCACTGGGAGTCACGCAGCCGCGCCCTCACTGGGAGTCACACCCGGGCTGTGCTCTCACTGGGAGTCACATGCAGGCCGGGCTCTTACTGGGAGTCACACGCGGCTGCGCTCTCACTGGGAGTCACACCCCGGCTGTGCTCTCACTGGGAGTCATACCCGGGCTGCGCTCTTACTGGGAGTCACACGCGGCCGCACTCTCACTGGGAGTCACACCCCGGCTGTGCTCTCACTGGGAGTCACATGTGGGCTGCGCTGTAAATGGCCACCCGCGCTGGCAGAGGCAGGTGCAGGAGCTTCTTTCAAACCTGTGGGCTATGCACATAAACCAGCCCTCTGAGATCTGCTGTAAACCACAGAACTAAATTAAAACTGCATAATTTTTTAGAAAATGGCAGCACTATTCCTTAATCTAACCAGGGACAAGGGGAGGGGTGTATCTCTCGTCACATTTCTAGAGTTAAACCTTCAAAGAATTTCTTAAAAAACCCAGGCACGCGCACACACGCACACTCGAAAGAAGTTGCTGCACTGGCAAGACGCGCTTTAAGCTTACTATGAAGTACAAAAGTGCACTCTTCTATATCTACATATAAAACATATTAGAAGTAAAACTGTAAAACGTTTGCTGTGCAAACTATAAAAAGTCGGTGGCTGCTCCTCTGTCCTACTGCAGGGAATCGCTGTTCTCTAGGACGAGCCCGCTGATGTGGGTGGAAGCCAGCGCACCCCCGTCATCCTCCGTGCTGTCCACAGACTCGTCCTCGCTCTGCCCCGCCATCATGACCTGCTGTACCGCCAGGGTGGCCCCGTCCGAGGATAGAGACTGGAGGCTGTCCACGTTCATGTTCACAGGCGTGGTAATGGTTACGACAGCTCCTATGGCAGGAAGGACACAAGTTTGTCACTACTTAAATTAGTACTTACAGAGAAAAATACTTTATTACTCAATTAGGTACTGTTTACTTGTCTGAGCTGAAGTTAAAACTCCTATATGTTTATGGAATATTCAAAAGGATTTAAGAAAGTGTTTCTGGCCGAGCTCAGTGGTTTATACTCTGGGAGGCCAATGTGGATGGACTGCCTAAGCTCATGGGTTGGAGACCAGCCTAAGTGAGAACAAGGCCCCCTCCCCGTTTCTAAAACATAATAGCCCTGGGCAGCGCCTGTGGCTCAAAGGAGTAAGGCGCGGGCCCCATATGCCAGAGGTGGGGGGTTCAAACCCAGCCTTGGCCAAAAACTGCAAAAAAAATACCCCCAAAACAAAAAACAATAGTCAGGCGTTGTGGCAGGTGCCTGTAGTCCCAGCTACACATGAGGCTGAGGCAAGAGAATCACTTGAGCCCAAGAGTTGGAGGTTGCTGTGAGCTATGATGCCATGGCCCTCTACAGAGGGAGACAAAGTGAGACTGTGTCTCAAAAAAAAAAAAAAATAGTGTTTCTGAATCAGCCTCAGACCATGCTTAGCTAATAAGGTCTTGGCCTGAGAACAGCCTCAGTGGAGATCAGGACTCTCAAGAACATAAATTGCAGGGCCAGGTGCAGTGGCTAACACCTGTAATCCCAGGGAGGCTGAGGTAGCTTCTAGACCAGCCTGAACAAGAGTGAGACCCCATCTCTAAAAATAGCCGGGCGTTGTGGTAGGCATCTGTATTTCCAGCTACTGGGGAGGCTGAGAAGAGGATTGCTTGAGCCCAGGAGTTTGAGGCTGCTGTGAGCTATGATGTCACCCACAGTACTCTACAAGGGTGACAAAGTGACACTATGTCTCAAAAAAAAAAAAAAGAGAAAGAAAAAAGAACACAGATTTGCAGGGCAAAAGTATTGCAAGGAGAACAGAAGAAACCAAGAACATAGGAAAAAGATGTACAAAAGAAATATAAATGAAGAAACAAAAAGGAGAATAAAACCTTCTAACAGGCCAACCAGGTGCATGGCCTAACAGCAGAGGATGGGCATGGCCCACGTGCTCACAGCACAGCTGAATTACAGACATGCAGCACGGGACACTTGGTGCCCTGACACGCGGTATAGTGAGTCCACACATGCTGATTTCAGTGATTTGAAAAAGTGTGCAGTTATTTTTACTGCAGATGAGAGCAAGTGGAGATGGTATCATGTGCTATCACTGGGACAAGTTTAAGAGACACATTCACTCACAGACTGTCCCATCATGCATGCACCGAGCATGTACAGGAAACGGGAACAGTGATCAGAGAAGATTAGAAGCCAGGAGAGAGAGGAAGGAAAACCTTTCCAACTAATTCTTGGATTAACAGAGAAAAAACATAAATTCTTTAAATATGAATATAAATTCTTTAAAGATGACCATGAGACTACTACCCATCAAAACCAAAATGACAGGCTAGGTGCAGTGGCTCACGTCCATAATCCTAGCACTTTGGGAGGCCGAGGTGGGTGGACTGCCTGAGCTCACGGGTTCAAAACCAACCTGAGTCAGATCAAGAACTCATCTCTAAAAATAGTCGGATGTTGTGGGTGCCTGTAGTTCCAGTGACTTGGAAGGCTAAGGCAAGAGAATCACTTAAGCCCAAGACTTTGCTGTGAGCTGTGACGCTACAGCACTCTACCAAGGGCAACAGAATGAGACGCTACCTCAAAACAAATAAACAAACCCTTAAATGATGAAAGCAATCCAGTTCTTGCTGGAAAACTTAGCTTTAAATGCATATGTGTGGTGGGACTTGTGCTCAGTGGGTAGGGCGCCAGCCACATACACTGAGGCTGGTGGGTTTGAACCTGGCCCAGGCCAGCTAAAGCAACAATGACAACTGCCAACAACAACAAAATAAAATACGCCTATAGTCCCAGCTACTTGGGAGGCTAAGGCAAGAGACTCTCTTAACCCCAAGAGTTAGAGGTTGCTGTGAGCTGTGATGCCATGGCACTCTACCAAGGGTGACATTGTGAGACTCTGTCTCAAAAAAAAAAGAAAAATAGCCAGGCGCTGTGGCGGGTGTCTGTAGTCCCAGCTACCTAGGAGGCTGAGGCAAGAGAATTGTTTAAGCCTAGGAATTTGAGGTTACTGTGAGCTGTGATGCCACAGCACTCTACCCAGAGCAACAGCTTAAGACTCTTGTCTCAAAAAAAAAGTAAAATAGGGCAGCGCCTGTGGCTTAGTGAGTAGGGTGCTGGCCCCATATACCAAGGGTGGTGGGTTCAATGTGGCCCTGGCCAAACTGCAACAAAGAATAGCCAGGCATTGTGGCAGGCACCTGTAGTCCCAGCTACTTGAGAGGCTGAGGCAAAAGAATCGCTTAAGCCTAGGAGTTGGAGGTTTCTGTGAGCTGTGACGCCACAGCACTCTGCCCAGGGCAATGGCTTCATGCTCTATTGCCAAAAAAAAAAAAAAAAAACAACCTATCCAAAATGAAGCATGAAGAAGCTAATGGCCCTAACCTGTCCAAATGCAGTCGTGGGGTATTCCTGCATAAAGAAACGTGAGAAGCAGAACACAGTAACACCACCATTAACGTACACTTAGCAACAATCTGAAATGTGAACTCCCATCCACAGGAAGGCGCTGCTGATACTCACTCGTGCATGGTCCTGTGAGGAGGAGGGAGGGACAGAAGTCACAGGGAATGAATAAAAGCAAGAGAGTGGCATAGACTAGGTGGGGTCAGCAGCTGTGCTGTAAGGACCAGGCCAACATCCATCCTCTGTACCCAGAGTCAGAGAAGAAAGAGAAACAAACATGGGGGCCAGGCCGGCCGGCCGGCCGGCCGCAGCCTGTCTCGGACGTGGAGTGATGGCTGCAGATCCGTGGTGTGTGTTACAGAGTCTCTGCTGCTGCTGCTCCCACCAGAGCCTCTTTAATTCTCACCCAGAATGAAGCTGTGTCATGTTTTTGATGCAGAGGGAGAACTAGGTGGATTTTGGTTCACAGCATTTTCTGGGGCCCACAGCTAACAGTGCCAGATCCAGCCTCCCGTCCACAGATCCACCCACCATCTGCGTGTCTGCCCGTGGGACCGGCCGCCCGTACCTTCCGTCATGGCAAGTTCGCTGGGCGGCGCCTGTGTGACCCCAGATGCAATAGAGTCAGGCCAAAACCTCTGAACTGGCCTGTTCTGAGCAGTTTTTTTCTTTGTCTTGGGGGTCTCTGAACAACTGGAATCCAACATGGGCTGGAGAATCCGTCTTCTCGCATTGATGAACCTGAGGGCCAACAAGGGGAAGCTTCTGTCAAAACAGCCGTGAAGCCTCATGCAGGACAGACACTTCTTACAAACACGCCGGAAAGAAGGGTGTGTTTTCTGCTGTAATCAATACGTAAGAGGAATCAGACAGCTATTCTCAATTATCTTAATTATTGTCTAAAAGTCCAGAAACACAGGCCCTGTGATTTTAAAAATTATTCCTTTAAATAAGGAGTGACGCCTCCATGGTACCTTTTTCTTTGCTACCTCAGCTGACCTAGTCCACATTTGTGAATTAGACATTCATAACGACACTGGTGGTACTAGCCCATCTGTGAATTTGACATCATTTTCTCTAAGTGAGAAGAATGTCACACGGCAACACTTTGTTTGCTGTGGTCATGTGACACCTGAAACTGCCGGCCATCTGCGCTGTCCGGACACGAGCAGCGAGGCCTGCCTCTGGGTCTGACCGCTCGCCTGAGCCATCGGGAAACACGACTGCCCACTCTGGGCTTGGTTTCCAGACTATTCTAAATGATGAGCTGGTTCTCAGTCGCCCAAGTCCTGAGTCGGTCAGTATTCCCTCCCCCCCCCACCGGAGCACAGTGCCTACACAGGGCAGTGCGGAAATCCCTAACAGACTTGAGCTGCTCCGTGAGACTCAGCACTCTCAGCTGCGAGAGGACCCCACAGAGGCGGCCAGCAGAAATCACAGACTGGCTAAGTGGGCTAGACGTGGTTTCACATCCAACGAGGAAAACATTAAAGACCGTTTTGTCAGTCTCCATCCCTCTGAGCGCCCCAAGCTGCTGCCTGTAAATGTGAGAGAGTGGGGGGAGGGCTGCTGGTGCAAGGAGGAGACCCAAGACCCCAAATTAAGTCTCCCTCCTGCAGTCAGGACAGTGTGTAGCCAGGCAGTGAGTGGCACAGCCTGGCCCCTACACCACTGTCCTACACCACTCTGTGGGGTCACCTTGCTGCCATGTGAACAGCGATGGAAGGAGAACTAACAGCAGTTCCATAAAAATATTCATCAAATCAGAACCTGCCCAGATCCCCCTAGATCCCTAAGCTGCTACAGAAACGGCCACAGCAAGCTGAGGGACCCAGCTCTGTCTTCCTTCTCCATAGTGACCGGTGAGGGTGGCCCCTTGCCAGACTCCCCACAGGCTTCTATGGGCAGCCATGCGGCCCTGTTCTTGTGTCATGGAAATAAAAGCATTGCTTTAGATGCAGATTCTACTCCAGTTTGTCACCGTGTGACAACTTTTCCTCTTCTTTTAATGCCTCCACCTGCAAAATAACAGAACTAGAACTGGACCAGCTCTCAGGTTGTTTAATTATAAAATTGTAAGATTAGAAAACATCTAAGATTACATGAGGACATATTCTAATAGAAACAAACTAGAGTAACCTGCTGGTCCCTGCAGTACAAGAATGACCAGGACAGCGGACAAGGGACTGAAAGACCTCGGAGCCGCCTCAGGAGCTGGGGAGGCGCCGTCCCGACGTCCAGCGCTGCTTTGAGGCAGGACGCAAGCTAAGGGGCATATTCAACCTCACCACTCCAAGCTGTAATTGTTACAAATGTAAAAGGAAATAGTATGTAAAGATGTAAAACATAAAATTTGCTACAAATATTAAAATATTTTAGAAATCTGGAATTTAAGAAAGTAATGTTATTAAACTGTTATTAATTTAAAAAGTTGAAAGTTGGTATTAAACCTGGTGAGGACTCTGTTAATGCAACAAGCAGCTGGTTAGCACAGGAGTCGGGAATGGGGAAGGGGAAGTAGGACGCCCTGCAGCTCCCAGAGCCCCTGTGTCCCTCACCCCACCCAACCCGCCAATCCCGGCCTTGCAGCCAGCCCCACATGGGGACACTACAGCAGGCTCAGGCTACCACAATATCACAGCGACTATATACCTGAACCTTTAAATTTTTGACACTATTAAAAAAATCTAATAGGAAATAACTCAAATAGTAGGGTCTTTACTGCCACCCAAATCTGCAAGATAGTAAGAGCATTTAATACAAGACCAGACACACCCCTGCATATGTACCCACATGAACAGGAAGGTCTTATTGTTTCTATTGGAACTTCAACAAGTTAACATTTTAGCCCAGTTAAAATAAAAGGATATGTTTATGAGTGGCAGAATTTGTGCTTTCTTTTCTTTTATGCATGCCAATTTTATTAAGCTGAATTGCTTCCTACATCTGAACATCTCAATAAAAATGTGGTAACTGACCCATGACCACAGGGGAGCACACACTGAGCCCAGCACCATGTAGCCGTGCAGCAGCCCGTGTAGCCTACGGCTAGGAGGAGAGAGGGTTACAAGAAACACCTGTATAGCTCAATAACAGAACACCTTGGTGAAAAGGGCATGGAGAGGGATTGAGCATGAGAGAGCTCGCGAAATGAGAGCAGTGGTGAATTGGCAGTCTCTACGACTGTGGTGTTGAGAGGCACGAGCTCAGCCTCATTAGGCCGGAGGAGAAGGCAGACAAAAAGCATGTGCATGCTATCACAGACACGCTTACTCTGACTCTGTCTCCTTCTCTGCCTGCAGAATGCCAGCATGGCTTCTCTCTGCTGAAGATTACAGGCTCTGCCAAAGACCAAGATCTATCTATGCTAAGAAGATTGCTTTACTCTCTGTGACACACACACTCTCTCTCTCTAGCTAAAGTAGATAGCCCTCAGGCACCTAAGAGAAACTGTTTCTGAGCAAGGTAGCTTAGTGGTCCGTGTCTGGAACCTACCCTAGCCGGGCCGAGACCTGGCCAGTGTGTGATAGCAGAACTGGAGAAGGAGGCTTTTTTTTTTTTTAGCAAATCCAAGTGTCCTCCTGGGCATCTCTGCCCCAGCAGTCCTCCTGATGCTCCTGTCACCATTGTGCCAACAAAGAGAGGGACTTTCTTCCCGAGCTCAAGTCAGAAAAGGACTCCTTGCCCGATCACCCACCCCCACCCAGGGCTTGCCTTCTGACATGGCACAGTTGAGGACAAACATGGGGCTCGAGGGTGGTGAGAGCAGAAAGAGCACGTCCAGAGAGGCGGGCAGGAGGTAGGCAGGAGTCTTTAAGCAGCAGTCATCACTCAAACCTGGGCTCAGAGTCAGCGCTGGCTTGTTCTTAAGACCCCGCCTCTGGCCCGGTGCTCCCACACAGACAGTACCTGTTAGGGGAACTCGTCTTTCCCTTTTTTCTTTTCTTTTTTGAGACAGAGTCTTACTGTGTCACCCTCAGTAGAGTGCTGTGGCACCACAGCTCACAGCAACCTCAAACTCTTGGGCTTAAATGATTCTCTTGCTTCAGCCTCCCAAATAGCTAGGAATACAGGTGCCCAGCTATGTTTCTGTTGCAGTTGCCATTGTTGTTTAGCTGGCTTGGGCTGGGTTCGAAGCCGCCAGCCCTGGTGCATGTGGCTGCTGCCATAAACACTCCAACAGGCACTGGGCCAGAACTCGTCTTTTCCACCAAGTTTCACCACGTGTCAGCATGAGGGCCCCAGGCCCGGGCTCAGGGAGCCAAGCGCCTTACCAGTTGTTGACCTGGAGCAGTGTCAGATTTGTCTGAGCAGCGATCTGTTTCTTCTCATCCTCAGTAGGGTAGGGGTGCTGAAAATACAAAGGGTGTTACCATCACCCAAGCAAGCAGTCACTGCTGAGACCCTATGACGTCAACAGATCTCTAGCCAAACCCACCGGCTGTCCTATCCAACAGGATGAAGTGTCTCCTAGCCACAAAGAATGTCCTAATGCTGCAGTGTCTGGGCAGTGCACAGACCAAGGTGTGACTTACTGGCCACATCTAAGATTCAAGGATGACAGTGACAGCACCAGGAGCTGCCCAGTGGCGAGAGCTTCTCTGGGCCAGGCACTGCCCTGAGCACTCAGCACTATTTATAAATTCTTTTTTTTTTTTTT